ATCTTGTAAAGGCTTTTAAAGCGTTGCCTATGAATATTAAAAATGTATGCAGTTTGTCGCCATTGCATGGGGCATGCACAGTTTTACAGCATGTCATGTTTGGTATCCATTTACTCAGCATGCCATCATCTTTTATATTTTACCAAATAATTGGCCAATATATTGTGTTTTTGTGCATTAGAAGTAAAAAAATATATTTTGAAGAAAAAATATGCATCTGAAAAATTACTGCCCGAGTACAATGTGACATAAAAAATTGCAGCACCCACCATTTTATTTACTAGGGTGTCTCCTTTAAAAAGGCAGAAAAGGCTTGGTCTTCAGGTGGTTAGAAGAGTAAGTGAAGCGTGGCATAAACTTCTAATGCTGGGCATAAAATGCCCTCTGCCCCCAAAATGATGCCTTTTTGGAAAGTGTACACACCAAACTATTTGCTGAGAGGCATGTTGAATCAATAGAAGAATTTATTTTTTTACCACAAGTTTTTGGAAAATGAAAAAATAATTTTTTCACAAAATTGTCACTTATATTATTTATTGCTCACACATGCCATGGGTATCTGTGGAATTACTCCCCAAAATACATTCTGCTACGTCTCTCAATATTGGGAATACCACATGGGAGAGGCTTTTTGGTAGTCTAGCCAAGTACAGGACCCCAAAATCCAATAAGCACCTTCAGCTTTTAAAGAGATTTATTTTCTCATTACACTTCCTGACTACCAATCACAGTTTCCCTTTTTGGAAAGTAGACACAACATGGAATTTGATAAGAAGCATGGTGAGTATTTTGCGATTTAGTTTGTTGCCACAAGTTTTTGGAAAATGAAGAAAAAAAACAAAAACATATTTTTTCTTTTCTTTTTTATATTTCAAAATCTTGTGATAAACAATGAGATCTGCAAAATACTCACCATTCCTCTTTTTAAATTCCTTGGGGTGTCTACTTTAAAAAAGGGGTTATTTGGGGGGTTTGGTGCTATCCTGGCATTTCAGGAGCTCTAAAACCATGATAGGTAGTGAAGAAGTGAAATGAGGAAGTTACGAGCCTTCAGGCTTTCAAAGTAGTCATTGGATTTCAGGCTGCTGTATTTATCTAGGCTCCCAAAAAGTCTCACACATGTGGTATCCCCATACTCGGTAGAAGTAGCAGAATGTATTTTTGGGTGTAATTCCACATATACCTATGGCTTTGTGTGAGAAACATATAATTTAAATGACAACTTTGTATAAAAAAGAAAAAAAATGTTTTTGTCATTTTCCAAAAACTTGTGGAAAAAAATATATCTTCCATGGGCTCAATATGCCTCTCAGCAGATATCTTAGGGTGTCTACTTTCCGAAAAGAGGTAATTTGGGGGTGTTTGTACTGTCCTGGTATTTTAGCACCTCAAGAAAATGTGGTGGGCAGTCAGAAAGTAAAAGCTATGTAAATTCCATTATCTATACCATAGTTTGTAGACGCTATAACTTTCCCACAAAGCAATCAATATACACTTATTAGGATTTGTTACCAAAAACATGTAACAGAATACATTTTGGCCTACATTTTTGACAAAATTTGAGTTTGTTGGATATTTTTTATGACAGAAATGAGAAAATATACTTTTTTTCATAATTTTTGGTCTTTTTTTGTTTATAGCACAAAAAATAAAAAGCTCACAGGTGATCAAATACCACCAAAAGAAAGCTCTATTTGTGTGAAAAAAGGACATACATTTCATTTATGTACAGAATTGCATGACTACACAATTGTCAGTTAAACTAGCGCAGAGCTGTAGAGCAAAAGATGGTGTAAATTGCAGTATCTATACTATAGTTTGTAGACACTATAACTTTCACACAAAGCAATCAATATACACTTATTGGGATTTTTTACCAAAGACATGTAGCAGAAATACATTTTTGAGTTTACTATATATTTTTTATAGCCGAAAGTAAAAAAATATCGTTTTTTTTTTTTAATTTTCTGTTTATAGCGTGAAAAATATCACTACAGGTGATCAAATAGCACTGAAAGAAAGCTCTATTTGTGTGTGAAAAAAGGACATACATTTTGTTTGGGTACAGCATTGCATGACTGCGCAATTATCAGTTGAAATAGTGCAGCGCTGTATAGAAAAAAGAGGTCTGGTCAGGAAAGGGGGTAAATCCTCTAGAGGGCAAGTGGTTAATTAAGAACTGAAACAAAAACAACTGTGTGCGAGATCCCCGAAGACTACCCAGAAAGTTGGGTGTGGAGATCCTTGCAGTGTGATCCCCTCTCCCTGATCCCCATCTCCACCCAGATCCTTGTTTGTCCCTCTTCTTGCTCCCAACCTCTCCCCAGCTAAAGCATCAGACCTGGATTTCATCTCTGGCACAGAGCTGGCAAATCGAAGCCATGCCTATGCAAGAATTTCAGCTGTATGGCAACAGCCAGCAAATCAAACAAAAGCTTTACTCCTCCATAACTACACACTGAGTGATGTGAAGTTGGGAGTATGAAAGGGACCCCATAGACCTGCTGCAGCTGACAAAAGACCTGCTTTGTTTCAGGGGTTCCTGACAATTAAACATGTCAGGAGAGTTCAGCCTCTCTGGAACCCAAGGGACCATGCACTCTTCAGGGGGTTGAGGCTGGTTGCTCATCAACAGCCTGTGCATGGTCCTCCCATCTCATGTTTGCACCTCTTGGGGCCTTAGGTCTGTGGGAGGGTGTAATGCCTATGAAACGTGTTGGCCTTGGACCCTTTGTTTCTTGGGTAATTTTTACAATAAAGCATTGTTGCCCAAATGCCAGGAGCATGAGAAATGGCTGATGTCATTTCTCTAAGCTAAAGGAACAGAGTCTCAAGATATTAGACTGCTTATAGCAAGATAAGAACTTGTTTGTGGGATTGAACATGTTTATGACATCTAGTAATGTCATATTAGAAGATAAGAACCTGTTTAAAGATGTCTATTTGCTTGAGAAGTTAGAAATCTTTAAGTTTAGGGTAGATGAGAAGAAGTTTAGGGTAGATAACAAGCTGATCTGAAGCAAAAGTGTGACTTTTTAGATAACGATGTTGATTCAATATGGTGGCTGGGCATGACTCTGTTATCCTCATGGAACCTTTCTGCTAGCTCCTCCTAGAGTGGGTGTGGTGCCCGCCCACTTTGGGAAAGCTGACAGGAAAATGGTTTAAAAGCTGGGAGTTTAAACAGGATCAATTGGGAGCCTCCAATGACAGGGGATGCTCTGACGCTGGGACTCTCGCCAAGGCTATATGGGCTCATCGATTGGTCGCAATTAAGGCTTCCCCGTGATCCCCTGTGCAGTATGGTTCCGATGGGACCTGTTCCTCACTGTTTTCATGATCATTGACACTCCACGAGGTGAGATCTTGCATGGTGCACCAGACCTAGGGAGACTGACAGTTGTTTTGTGTTTCTTCCATTTGTGAATGATTGCACCAACTGTTGTCACCTTCTCACCAAGCTGCTTAGCGATAGATTTATAGCCCAGTCCAGCCTTGTGTAGGTCTACAATCTTGTCCCTGACATCCTTGGACAGCTCTTTGGTCTTTGCCATAGTGGAGAGTTTGGAATCTGATTGTTTCATTGCTCCCTGTGGACAGGTATCTTTTATACAGGTAACAAAATTAGATTAGCAGCACTCCCTATAAGAGACTACTTCTAATCTCAGCTTGTTACCTGTATGAAAGACACCTGGTAGCCAGAAATCCTGCTGAATGATAGGGGATCAAATACTTATTTCCCTCATGAACATGCAAATCAGTGTATAATTTGTTAGACATGCATTTCTTTTGAATTTTTTGTTGCTCTCAGTGTTACAATACACCTACCATTCGATTTTTAGAATGATAATTTCTTTGTGAGTGGGCAAACATTCAAAATCAGCAGGGGATCAAATACTTACAGTTGTGCTCAAAAGTTTACAAACCCTGGCAGAAATTGTGAAATTTTGGCATTGATATTGAATATATGACTGATCATGCCAAAAAATGCTCTATTATTGAAGGATCATGGTCATATGAAGCCATTTATTATCACATAGTTGTTTGGCTCCTTTTTAAATCATAATCACAAGACCTCCTTCTCTCTAGTTCCCTGGTCTCCTCCTCCCATGCCTGCCTCCAGGACTTCTCCAGGGTGTCACCCATCCTCTGGAACTCCCTGCCCCAGCCCATCAGATTATCACCTACTCTCCTCTTCTTTAGGCGCACCCTGAAAACCCATCTCTTCAGGGAAGCCTACTCCACCCCCTGCTAACTTGCCAACCTCCTCCACTCTTCCTACCACTCCATCCCCCACAGCTATCTCCTCCTGTGCCACCATCCCCTCCCTCCTAGATTGTAAGCTCGAAAGAGCAGGGCCTTCAATCCCCTCATGTTTTGCATTGTATTGGTATTGTTCTGTCACATGTTCTGTCCCCCTTTGTAATGTACAGTGCTGAGCGAACTATTGGCGCTTTATAAATACTGTATAATAATAATAATAATAATGATAACAGAAATCACCCAAATGGCCATGATCAAAAGTTTACATACCCTGGAATGTTTGGCCTTGGTACAGATACACAAGGTGACACACATGGGTTAAAATGCCAATTAGAGGTTAATGTCCCACACCTGTGGCTTTTTAACCACTAGCCTACAGGGCACTTATACCCCCTTCCTGCCCAGGCCAATTTCCAGCTTTCAGCGCTGTTGCACTTTGAATGACAATTGCGCGGTCATGCAACACTGTACCCATATGAAATTTTTATCATTTTTTTGGGACAGATAGAGCTTTATTTTTGTGGTATTTAACCACCTTTGGGTTTTTAATTTTTTCTTAAACAAACCAAAAACCTCAGAAAATTTTGAAAAAAAAAACTTTTTTCTTAGTTTTTGTTATAAAATTTTGTAAATAAGTGATTTTTCTTCTTCACTGATGTGCGCTAATGAGGCTGCAGTGATGGGCACTGATAGGCTTCACTGATGGACACTGATAGGTGGCACTGATGGGCATTGGCAGGCATCACTGATGGGCACTGAAAGGCAGCACTCATATATGGCACTGATAGGTGGCACTGACTGGCACTGTTAGGTGGAGCTGACTGGCACTGTTAGGCGGCACTGATAGGCAACACTGACAGGCACTGATCGGCGGCACTGATGAACACTGATAGGCGGCACTGACTGGCACTGATAGGGGGCACTGATTAGCAGCACTGATAGGTGGCACTGACTGGCATTGATAGATGGCACTGACTGGCACTGATGGGTGACACTGAAAGGCAGTTCAGATGGGCACTGATATGTGGCATTGATGGGGCACTGATGTGGCATCGATGGGCACTGGCAGGTGGCATGGATGAGCACTGAGAGCTGGCACTGATGGACACTGACAGGTGGCACTGCTGGGGCTACACAGATCATCAGGGCACACTGATCATCAGTACTCTGATGATCTGTGTACATGTCCCCTCCGATTAATGCCGATTACCGGCTCTCCTCTCCTCTCGAGCTGTCAGCGTGACAGCTCGTGGGGAGAGAAATGCCGATAACCGGCATTTCCCTGTTTACATGTGATCAGCTGTGATTGGACACAGCTGATAACATGACTGAGCCGACATCTTACAACAATTCTTCTGGCAGTTGTAGCTGCAATCTTTCTTTGTCTACCTGACCTTGGCTTGGTATCAAGAGATCCCCGAACTTTCCACTTATTAATAGGTGATTTAACAGTACTGATTGGCATAGTCAAGGCTTTGGACATCTTTATATGTCCTTTTCCATCTTTATAAAGTTTCATTACCTTGTTACGCAGGACTTTTGACAGTCTTTTTCTGATCCCCATGGCTCAGTATCTAGCCTAGTCAGTGCTTCCACATAAGAGCTAACAAACTCATTGACTATTTATACACTGACACTAATTGCAATTTAAAAAGCCACAGATGTGGGACATTAACCTCTAATTGGCGTTTTAACCCGTGTGTGTCACCTTGTGTGTCTGTACCAAGCCCAAACATTCCAGGGTATGTAAACTTTTGATCCGGACCATTTGGGTGATTTCTGTTATTATGATTTAAAAAGGAGTCAAACAACTATTTGATAATAAATGGCTTCATATGATCATCATCCTTCATAAAAGAGCATTTTTTAGCAAGGTCAGTCATATTTGCAATATCAATGCCAAAATTTCACAATTTCTGCCAGCGTATATAAACTTTTGAGCACAACTGTATTTCCTTCACTGTAGCTTTGGTAATGTATTCATTCTATGCTGTGACGCTGTCAAATAATGTGTCTATTTCATGCTGTAATGCTCACATTATTATTGGTGTATGTTATTATGCAGATTGTGATGACTATAAGATACAGTATATCCTCCTGTCTGTCATGTGATAATAAAAGTGGAGGTTTTGACAGTGGAAGAATATTGCAGTTGGATTATTTCTTGGAGTGCCAGGTGAATGCTATGATGTGCCAGGGCAGATGTTCATTTGGTAGAAGGTCTTTCACATGCATAGAATATGTACTGGTGTAAATGCTGGTTAATAGTACCTGTGTGTGACTACCTGTCAATTGTGTGAATATGACTTGCTTTTAGTTATTACATCCAGCATTATCATTACAGAGGGCCAAGCAGGGGTTCTTTACACTGACCGACAGACCAGAGCCTATGAGGAGACAAGGCTCTGCCTGTGCATTTGAAGGAACAGTGTAGCTGGCAATAGATGGAACTTTTTTTGCTCATCCAGAAGAGACAAAAAAGAGAAAAGGATTCCTCCATCCACACAATCAAAGTGGATAGAGGAATCCTCCTTGCTGAGACATTGTAGTCTGACAGCAGGGAGGATATGTCAGAACGCACTTGCTTAACCAGACAAAATTTGATTAATCTATGGACAACTTAATTCTCACCATTCAGTAGGGATACACTGATAAGTGCTTTTTACAGGCAAGTATGAGTAGCAATACTTGTACTCAAGTATTCGCAGATACCAATTACTAATACTTTTACAGTACGATCTCAGCCCATACAAAATGAATGGGCTCAAATCACACTGAAGAGAATTGCATGCAATTTCAATAGGAAAGTGGTGTGATGCCTACCTGAAACGCATGTGGTTCCCTCACCGCTCCTGTGTGAATCCAGGCTAAAGTCACTGTGACAAGCATGGGTTCGTTCACACAGGAGCAGTGCAGGAAAACGCATGAGATTAGTACAGGAATCGCAAAACATTCCTGTTCAAACTGTATGCAATTGTTTGCAGTGTGATTTGAGCCCATTCATTTTGTATGGGCTCAAATCGCACCACAAAGGTATCAGTTTTAGGTATCAGTGCATTTGATTAAGTGCAAGTACTCCTGCAAATGTTTGTTATCGGCACCGATACCAATATCAGTATAGGTACATTAACCCTATTTTTCAGCTCACCAATTGTTATGAATATCGCTGGGATTTGTAATGCCCTCAACTGCTAAAGATTGATGCATGTAGTTCTTTCTCTGTCATGTGCTGATGAGGTCTGCTAAGACTTGTAGTTCCTTTCCTGTTGTGTGCTGTTGAGATTTACTTTATTCACCCCTTGCAAGACTGTGCCAGCTGTATTGTATTGTATTGCTGCTGCTGTGAACCCACGGAAGTGCCCCTGGCTGTACCTTGGTTTGCTGTCACTAGACTTAGCCCTTTTTTGTCCCATATTTCCACCCTGTGGTTCTTGCTGATTGCTACCACTGGAATTAACCCTTTTACTCTACCATAGTTACCCCATGATTCTTGCTGATTGTTCATTGCTTTAATCTGGATGGCTACAACTGGACTTAACCCTTTACTGTACCATATTTTCCCCCTGTGATCTTTGCTGATTGTCCCTGGCTGTAATATACAGTTAATAAATGCCCCACAAGTTGGATCCTGTAGTATTTTCTGCTATGTCCACTCTCTGGGTCCTTAGCTCATAACATTGGACACCAGGGCTCTAGATCAGCCAATATTAAATTAAGGGTCTGTTAGGGCTGGATATGGATTGCTGAATAAGGAGCGCCTGTGCAAGGAGATTGTGTGAATTGTTATCCTTTGTATTGTAGCCTGCAGCAAGTACTTGGAGACAGACAGATTTGACAAGTGTCCACAGTGAACATAGAAGTCATTTTATGGAGTGCCTGGGAGCAGTGATACTCAGATTGTATTTCAAATTATTGGACTTGTTAAATAACATACTACAAATCACACAGTTTACAAAAAAAAAAAAAGTGCAGAATATTAATGCTAGTAAATGCAGACATCGAATGGACAGTATAATGTTTTTCCAGTGAGAACATACTGTATTTTCTGCAGTGTTAGCTTCAAATGAATCTGTGCCTTGTCAATGCAGGGCAAGTAACAGGTTCACTTAAAGGACAAGTTCACTTGCAGTGATGTTGTCCTTTAATGTTTCCCCTTACCCCCCCCCCCCTTCCCCAGTAAAATACATTCCATTATCCTCTCTTGGGACCTTCACTACGTAGCCCCACCAGGCAAAGATTCCAGACCATGTCCAGCTCCTAGTGCACATGCGTGCCACTTATCCAATTCATTTCTATGGCTGGTATGTACTCATAGCCTTGATTGAAGTATAGGCTGAGCAGCAAACATGGGCATTTGGAGCTGGATGGGCTGGGACAAAAAATAGGCCTGGGCATTTTGGACTGAGCTGCCCCAAGCCCGGGGACCCTTTCCTCGGAGTCCTTTGAGGTGGAACACCAGGGCCAGGTGGCAAGAGCGACCTTTTGCAACCCTGGTAGTAGTTCTGCTAATAGTGTCAGTAGGTTTTTATTTTTATTTTATTTTTTACAATTTTATATTTTATTCTTTTTTTACATTTTCAACAAAGCAGTGGTTAAAGCTTGTAGGAGGAGTTTTCTTTCTGCTTGAGGAGGATGCAGAACCCTTGACTTCTGTCTGGACAGTGCTGATTGGCCCTGTGCTAATCACATGCACTCTCCCAAGAAAAAAAAACCTCTCTTGATGATATGTCTTATCAGAAGGCAAAAGGGAGACACTGGAAGAAGGGGAGGATCAGAGAAGTCAGGATCACAATGCAGAGGATTAACCCCTTCCGTTCCAAAGTGAGTATAACAAGCATGCTTTACTGCATATACAGACTGATTTTACTGTTGTGGGTTTGGTAACACTTGAAGGTCCCAGGAGCAAAAGATGGCTGGAAGGTATTTTAAAAAAAAAGTGTAGTGTAAAAAATGACAGTAGACAGTCTTTGACCAGTCCTTTATTAAAAACAAAAATTAAAAAATGCACTCCAAAGTAAATCCAACATCAATCACGATGCTGGCTGCCACCGCTGACCCCCCCACACACAAAAAAAAGGCTCTACTCTCAACGCTGGCTCCTTGTCGTCTGACAGCTGCACCGGCCTGATAGTTCTTAAATATCTAAGGGGCAGAGCCACCTGGTGATGTCAACTGGGTGACCCCACTCCATTGTGACATCATTGTGTGCTGTGATTGGCCAAAGCATTGCACAGGTCAAGAGCGCAGTGCATTGCGTTTGCCAAACACACAAATGGTCGATGTTCGAATCTAACTTCCATTTGACACGAATATCAAGCCCAACACTAGTCACTAGTAGGGGGGCTAATCTTGTTTCCCACCAGAGTGATCCTTCCCCTAATTGCCCAGGGGGTGCAGGTGTACTCACTCAAATCCTCTCCTGTACCACCTGAAGATTGTTTGCTGCTAACAGGCCTATTAGCTGGGCTTCTCCTTTCCTGGCATACAAGTGGACCTCGCTTAGAGGGCCAGTGAGTTTTCCTCCTTTCCAGTTCCAGGCTCGCAGGCAGGCCTCATCTCACCTCCTGGCAGCCTCCTCCCTCCAACCTTACATCTTTCCTCCAACTTTCTACACCTTTTCCCACCACCACACTCTTGCTACTGATCAGGCTCAAACACTTTTAAGGGTGTCAAGCTCCTTGCCAAGTCTTTCTTGGGGATTGGCTAGGACCCCTCAAGAACGCAACCAGCCACTCCTCAGATCCACCCACTGCCTTCAAGGCCCTCCCCTGAAAGCCTCAGTGCAGGGGGAAATTCCAGAGTGCTCACCTGCAGAGTCTCTCAGCCCTGACCACAATTAGACCCCTCTGGCCTTTACATCCAAGCTCCTAACCAGCTCCTGACTAACCACTGGGATCTAGCTCCCCCTAGCTAAACTAGGAGGGTGAAGGGTGCTACACACCTTTTTTCCATTTTTTTTATAAGTGATCACATACCGTCTGTTCTCAGCTACACAAAAGCTGGGGGCGGGGGGGGGGGGGGGGGCAGCAGCACACTGGACTTCCCAAGGAAAGGCTATGTGGAGGGGGGGTATCAGGACAAGCTTGATCATTGTAGGAGAGCACCGCTAGAGATCTGACTACACTGTGCTCTCCTGCCTACTGTGGTCAGTTCTTAACAGGCAAGCAGGGGGACTGGCAGGAACACCAGGGATTTCACACAAAGGAAGCAATACATAGAGAATAGGATACTTCTTCATACAAGCACATGGTACAGCAGGCACATATCAGGAATATGAAATGGGTTTACACACTCTTCCAGTTCTAGCCATGGTATATTTTTAAATAGTTACTTTGGTTCAGATTGTAATTGTGTACTGTATATACCATAACTGGCCAATGCATCTGGAAGCTGGAAATCACTGAAGAA